AGATCAACAACCTTAATTAATTGTTGTGAATATTTTCACCATCATAACTATTAAATATGTGGCATATACATAGTATGAATTGTAAATTTATTAAATTCATTATATAGTCAATATTAAATGTATTAACATTTTTAATACTAAAAACATCTTGATTTTTTCTTTATCAAAGTTTTTAAGGGTCATTTTCATTGTATGATTTTGTCTAATACAAAATTTTTATTGTATTTTGCATGGAAATGGCCGAAGATCGATCAACGACCCTGATTGTGATGTGTATTTAATTTGGGTTTGAGATATTTGGTTGTGATCTTAAGTTGCGGGTATGTGTTATTGCTAGTATCTCTTAAGGTGTTAATTATTTTTATTTTTACCAAACTCGACCCAGTAAATCTGCACCGCTATTGGAGCATCCTTTATACCTTTTGATCATGTTTGCTCTTGTCACAATTTTCTTTAAAATAAGGATAGTAATCAACATACATTTCTAGATTCTAGGTGAACTAGACAAATATAGCTCAGAACCCTTATATATTTTGGGTATTAAAAGCGTGGCCTATCTCTACATCCAACTCATCGACAACTAGTTAAGTTAGGCAGCAACCGGGAGAACGGTCCTCTCCTTTCCAATATGAATAATTACCATGCTATAGACAAAACATTGTCCAAAATACAATACATCGCAATCAAAAGGACAAACATCAATAAATATACATTGGACTTAATCATCTCTTATTTTTTAATCTAAACCAGAAACATGTTCATACTTCATGCACGAATGTGATTGTGACTATTCCATATTATTTTTTTATTTTTTATTTTTAAAATTTTCCTTTTTATGAAATCAACAAGAAAAGTATTTTATTTAAGAAAGTATATATAACTCTATATGGGATAGTTTTAAGTTTTAAAGCATATTACAAAGATACTTAAACTCAAATACATGTCACATCCCACCCTATATACTTTGCAATATACTCTCAATACACATTGAATTAAACTCAACACATGCAAGTCAACACAGATATTTTATTAAACATTTGGTGGATTAACAGAAAGAAGAATCCTGAAACTTAAACTTATGAATTTCTAATTTTTAATGTAACAGACGTTGGTGTATGTGCTCTTTACTCAGCTCCTGACAGGTAACAAAGCGCATATCATTAATTTTTTTATTATGGTGCAATTAGGTTTGTGACATTTAAAATGTTTTCTTAAATTGGCTAAAACCAACCTTTAGCCCCTCACTTTACAAAATTGATAAGTTTTAGTCCCTAACCTTATAATATGACATTGTTAACCCTTTACCTTACAAAGTTTGTAAGTTTTAACCCCTTACCTTATAAAATTGATAAGTTTTAGCTTCTCACCTTATACTTTGACACTCTTAGCCCCTTATATATACGAATTAAAGAAAATAACCCTCACTTAACATTAGGTTATAATGTTCTGTTAATTCTGTTAGTTGACTGTCAGTTTTGTTAGTTGATTGTTAGCATCCGGTAGTATTCTGTTAATAGAACTAACAAATAAAATTGAATTTAAATTTCATATTTTCTATAACGGAATGCTAATGGATGTTAACAGTCAGCTAATGAATGTTAATAATCAGTTAACAGAACTAACAGAACATTATAATTTAATATTAGGTGAGGGCTATTTTCTTCCTTTCATATAAATGAGGGACTAAAAATGTCATAATATAAGGTGAGGGGTTAAAACCTACCAATTTTATAAAATGAAGGGCTAAAACCTATCAACTTTGTAAGGTAAATAGCTAAAAGTGTCATGTTATAAAGTGATGGGCTAAAACCTACCAATTTTGTAAGGTAAGAGGCTAAATGTTGGTTTTTGCCAAATAAACTTAGGTAAGACAAGAAAAGATAGAGAATGCCCTAACACATTATGTACCTATAATTTAATGTGGCTGCTTCATTGGAAGCTGACACCAACACCTTTCAGAAAGAATAATCATGGGGAAGATCTTTTTTTGCCTTTAGATTTTTG